CTCACCAAGAACGATGCTATTAACAGCCTCACCAGCAGCGTTGGACGCGCCTCGTATAATCAACCAGTGCGCCTTTGGGATGCTAGTAACGGGAAGCTAACAGATTTCACCACCCATTTCTCCTTCGTATCAATCTTAGTTTCTATGGTGATGGAATCTCCTTCTTTATCGCACCTTTTGACTCCAAGATCCCTCCCGACTCCAGCGATGGGTACCTCGCTTTGCTCGATAGTAACGAAAACTCTAACTCTTCCAGCAATAATATCGTTGCAGTGGAATTTGATAGTAACAAAAACAACTGGGACCCGGATAATAATCATGTTGGCATCAACATCAACTCCATCGACTCGGTAAAAACCGTGACATGGAACAGTGGCATCAGGGATGGAAAAGTGGCAAATGCATGGGTGAGTTACAACTCCACCACAAAAAACCCCAGTGTTTTTCTAACCTATGCTAATGATCCGATCTACAGTGGGAATTCAAGACTTTCATATACTGTTGATTTGAGGGATGTGTTTTTCCATAATGGGTTAGAATAGGTTTCTCAGCATCTACCGGGCGTGAAGTTGAGACTCATAAGATTATTTCTTGGAGTTTTGAGTCAAGCTCGGGGACAACTGGGAAGAGGAAGAACCTGGGATTGATTGTTGGCTTGGGTGTAGGTTTTGGTCTAGTGGTTTGTGGGTTAGGTTTGTTTATCTTCATCATGTGGAGAGTGAGGGCAGGGTTGAAGGACGGTGAGGCCATCGATGTCACCATCGACCATGAGTTCGAGTAAGGGACGGGGCCGAAGAGGTTCACTTATAATGAACTGTATCACTCGACGAATAGTTTTGCTGAGGTAGGGAAGCTAGGAGAAGGAGGATTTGGAGGAGTCTACAAAGGGTTATTAAGCAATTCCAACACGGAAGTGGTGGTAAAGAGGGTTTCAAGAAAGCAGGGGAAAAATAGTATATATCGGAGGTGAAGATTATTAGCCGTTTGAGACATAGGAATTTGGTTCAACTTCTTGGTTGGTGCCATGAGAAAGGTGAACTCCTTGTCTATGAATTCCTGCCTAATGGAAGCCTTGATTCTCATTTATTTGGTGATAAAATCATGTTAACTTGGATCGTAAGATACAAAATCGCAATCGGTTTGGCCTCAGCGTTGTTTTATCTTCATGTAGAGTGGGAACAATATGTGGTTCATAGAGACATAAAGTCTAGCAATGTAATGTTGGATTCCAACTTCAGCGCAAAGCTCGGAGATTTTGGTCTTGCAAGACTTGTGGACCATGACATGGGTTCACAAACAACTGTCTTGGCCGGCACCATGGGCTATCTAGCCCCTGAATGTGTCACTACCGGCAAGGCTAGCAAGGAATCTGATGTCTATAGTTTCGGAGTTGTGGCCCTTGAAATTGCATGTGGAAGAAAGCCGGTTGAACCAAGGGCAGAACCAATCAAAGTGAGGCTGCTAGAATGGGTCTGGGACCTCTATGGAAAAGGCCAACTACTTGAAGCTGTTGACAAGAGACTAGGAAAAGTCTTCGATAAGCGGCAAATCGAATGTTTGATGATAACCGGGTTATGGTGCTGCCATCCAGATTACACTCATCGCCCTTCTATAAGGCAAGTGATAAGTGTCCTAAACTTTGAAGCTCCATTGCCTAGCTTGCCATCGAAGTTACCGGTACCGATGTATTACGCTCCTCCAATGAGTCTCTGCAAGTTTACGTACACATCATCAATCACAAGTGTCACAGATTCCGAAAAATATCGAACTCAATGATCGTGCAGTAGCTGCTTTACTCATACATCATATTCATCATCAGTTGCAGGTTCTGGAAAAGCTCTTTTAAGTTCTCATAAGCATAGTTAAGTAATATATCCCCTGCAACTCTCCATTAAATGCAAATATAAGTAAAGAGATGTAAGAATACAGCTTGAACATTTAACTTTGCGTTTTGGTTTCCTAATGCCTGAAAATGAAATAGTTCACAGTGTATTGTTACTTGTAAACTTGTTGAAATCAAATTTCTGGAAACTTGTTCATTAATGTTCCGTTCGGAAACTTTGATTTCAGAAATTTAATTTAGATTATAATGGTAACATAAATTAAGTAAAAATATAACATTGAAATCTGTGATTCCAACGGCGATAGTGTCCAATCGGCGGTCAAAGGCGCCCCCCCCCCCAAAAAAAAAGGGGTCCCAAAAAAAAATATAGTGGCGTTTTACCAATAAACGCCACTATAGATAGATCTATTGCGACTTTTTTTCAAAGAGAGCCACTATTATTGCGGCTTTATTGATAAAACGTCATTATAAATGGATTTATTACGGCTTTTGTCAAGAAAACGCCACTATTGTTGTTCCGAAATCGAATATATCTAGAAAATAAGGGTCCCTTTATACGAATTTGTACAGGTCCCCGAAAACCTTGCCACGGCCCTGATCATCAAGCATATAAGAATTGAATGTTGGGTTGGTAAAAACTAAGTGTGAGGAAAGGGGCAATCCTAGTTTTACAGTGTGGGTTAACTATTTCCATTCAGACAAAACTAAGTTCAATCAACTTCCAGTGTTGTTTCTTCAAACTTCAAAATCTGGGGGCTTCCTCTGTTTTTCCTTCAACTACCCGACACTTCGGTTTCATCGAAGCTTATATGGTTGCCATTACTTTTGCCATCCCTTTATTTTTCCGTCTTCATTCCTTCCATCTCAACTTGCTTAATACTGTGAAAAATGCTTATTTTCAAAACATTTTTGGTGAAAACAATGCATTATAACTTCAAGTATACATGAACCCAGTGACTTCGGTGGTAAATGAATTGTTGATATTATTTGAAGTCTTGGGTTCAAGCATCAGCATTGCTAGGAATACGAACGTTCAATATAAAATGATTGGGAGTTATCTTTGAATAAATTCTACTACTTACCCCATATTTATCATATTTACATTTATATAAATTTAGACTCAGAAACATTTGAACTTATCTTTTATTTATAAATTGTTAATGTTATATTATTTGAGTTTGAATTAATTATTATTATTATTAATTAAATATTCATATAAGAAATTTGAATTAAAAAAATTAAAACATTAGTGAATATATGAATACATGAAAATATGAAATTAGTAAAAGTATGGGTGATAAAAATTTGAATTTAATCAAATTTGCTCTCCACTTTATAATCTAGAGAGAAATTAAAATATTTGATTCTGCATTTATATATATTGTAGATTTGGATAATGAATATCTAAGTGTATCGATTTGTATATATAGTATAGATTTGGATATACATCTATGTGTACCTATTTACATAATATTTGATACGAGTATTATCTTAATAGGTGGAGTACAAATAGTCTCCCGACTATAGTACATTACTTTGTTAATTCCCTTAATTATTAAAAGTTACAAAATAGTTTCCTGATTATTTATAAAATAGGTGGAGTACAAATAGTCTCCCGACTATAGCACATTACTTTATTAAGTCTCCTAATTATTAAAAGTTAAAAAATAATCTTATTTATTTGAGTCACCCGACTATTAAAATTTATAAAATAGTCACTCGACTATTCATATATTCAAAACTCATATTTTTCTGTTAAAAAAATTACGATCGTTTGAGCTAAACGTTAACCTACTGACTGAGATATGGTAAAATCATATTTAATAATTTATATTGGCATTGTTGTTGCTTTCAAGCATTGGTTGGACGACATAATATTTTAAGCGTTGGCTTGACGGTATAATGTAAATGGAGAATCAATCCATAAAATCCGGCTCAAACAATTATAGAATTATATTTTATAATATTTCAGTCAACAGGTTAGCTTCTAACTCATTCGATCGTAAATTTTTTAACAAAAAAAATGAGTTTGGAACATATGAATAATCGGTGAGTATTTTATAACTTTTAATAATGGAGAGACTTGATAAATAATTTATTATACTTAGAAAATCATTTTACAAACTCAACAAAGCATTATTCTATAGTTGAGGGACCTTTTGTGTACTTTACTTATCTTAATTCACAATATCTAAATTTATATTAAAAAGCATATATTAATAGAAAAGCGTAAATAGATAACTCTTGTTTAAATTTTGAATTGGAAAATATGAAAAATTAGAACAAGATTCAAATAATATTTTAAAATTTATAAGTTTAAAGGCGTAAAATGCACCGCTCAATTGCCTATCATGTTAATATTTGGTGTTTACACACAAGAAAGACAATATTTTCACGTAAATCCATACATTTACAAGATAGCAACGTTCGATTACATTTTAGCTTTTGTATATCCAAGAGCCTGTCGTGTAGGATGGGCTGAAAAATTTTAAACGAGGGTAGGCATATTTATTACATATGTTATTTTAATAATAATTTTTTTTCTTTAAGAGTATTGTTCTAAACAGTAAACAGCATAACAAGCATCAAAAATAAAAAGTTTGAATCATTTATTGAAAGTATGGCGTGGGATTGGTGTTAATTACATTAATGGTTTGAAAAGGTTTCTTTATTAACCTCAATTTTTTCCTAATTAAAGTTATTTACAACTTAAACGATTACTTTTTCTTTTTTTAAAAAAAATCTTTATTTTTATTTTTACTTATTATGTAAGATTCATTAAAAACCTTGGATACTCAAAAGAAAATAATATAATTGATTCAGAATTTAAATTCAAAAAAAAAATTAAAAGATATCAGCGCATATGGAGTTACCCGTATAAGTTGATGCACGTTAGGAAGGGAAAGATCCATGCAAAAATACTTAGCCTAGCCAAGAGATTTATTGATTTCTTCTCTCTTTTCCCATTCTGTTGTGAAACATTATTATGCTGGGTTTCTTACCATATATGTTGATTCTAAAAATAACTCCTTGATTTCCTTACCTTAATCTTTGGGATTCTCCCATTTAATGTTGTGAGGGGGGAAAAGGGAAAAAACCATGAGTATATAACTCTCAAAACGTTTGATGATTTACTGCATCAGTCCGCTGAGAAAGAATGGAGAAGGTGGCAAACAGTATTACTCACTCCAGTCACCTTGTTCTATGGCTAGTAATCATCATTGAGTTCTCACAATTATTTTCCTGGGCTTTTTCTACTGAATTCTCAGCCAGGTTCTTTCTTCTTCTTCTTCCTCTTCTTCTTGCTTGCTTGCTCTACTATGTTTATTGCGCTGTTTTGCTCAGTTTCATGTGATGAAAGAACAGGATGCCATAAATTTTTCACATTGAACCTACACCTAATCTTTTATGTACTTATGTTTTGCATCGTAGAGAAAGCATGGAAGGAAACAGGAAGGGTCTTGAAGTCCTTTTGCGTAGAAATAAGGGCAGAGTAAGAATACATTCCTACCTCTTACAACGTTACAAGTTTAGTATGTAATCGTAAAAAAATTGATTAAAAGGGAAAAAGAATGCATGGCTATCATAGTATTATTAATTATTGAATGGAACTTGTTCAGGTTTTTATTATAATGGACTTGTTGAAGTTACCGTCGAGTATCCTTCTGGTCATTTGTCAGGAATTAAATATAAGACAATGCCCAATGTCTTTGAAACCAGAAATAACAACGATAATAAAGGGTATGTGCACTATTATATATCGTTTCTCATTTTGATTAGGTTTATTTTGAAAAATAAATCAATTTGAATCAAATTTCATTGATGCCTTAGATATTGGGACCTTGTCTGGAATGATAAATCTTATGACAAGTAAGTTCTTTGTCATTTTTTACATTAATGGTAATCTGTTAGTATTTCTTTAATCAACACGTTTTTTTTGCATGCTACTGCAGATTAGTTACAGAACATATGGAAATCATTACACAAACTGATGAGTTAGTTGAGGTTTCCTTCACCAAGACATGGAAATCTTCAACGGATTATCGCAACACGGTTCCTTTAAACATAGACAAAAGGTTCGCAAACATTCTCCGAGGTTGAAAGAAGAATATTTTTTCGATGGCCTTTCTGCTTAAAAGTTTTAAGGTTGTTGCAGGTATATAGTGCGAAGAGGCGTTCCAGGGGTTTATATGTATGGTATTTTGGAGAGAGAAGCAGATTTTCCTGATGCTTACATGAATCAATTAAGGATTGCTTTCAAGCTCAAGGAAGACAAGTAAAACTAATTAGCTATGGAAGATTCGTTTTTTAATGGTTAAAGCATCGAGGAAAGTGTTAATGTTTGACGTGATGTGACATTTTGAAACAGGTTTCATTTCATGTCAATATCAGACACGAGACAAGGGATGATGCCTACCGCAGAAGATCGAGAAGCTGGTCGCTCTCATGTTCTTGCTTATAAAGAAGCTGTACTCTTGACCAATCCCACAGATCCAATATTTAGAGGACAAGTATTTTCTTTTTCTTTCCTTCTTTTCTAAGTTTTTTTACTAATTCATCCAAAATTAGAGCCTGATAATTGTGAGGCGCAGGTTGACGACAAGTACCAATATTCCGAAGAGAGCAAAGATAACAAGCTTCATGGGTGGATATCGGATGACGATGCCGTCGGTTTCTGGGTAATCACCCCGAGCAATGAGTTCCGAACCGGTGGCCCGCACAAGCAGGAGCTCACTTCTCATGTCGGCCCAACTGCTCTTTCCGTAAGTAAACCCAACACAATCGCATATATAGCTTCCATTTCAGCTTCAATAAACGAAATATTTGGTTGTTTTCATGATGGTAGATGTTTGTGAGTGGTCATTATGCCGGTGACGACATGGATACATTTTATCAGAAAGGAAACCCTTGGAAAAAGGTGTTCGGCCCCGTTTTCATCTATCTCAACTCTGCTTCTCCCGATCCTAATCAAGGTTACCGTAACACACTCTGGAATGATGCTAAAAGACAACTGAGTGAAGAAATCGAAAGTTGGCCTTACAATTTCGTTGCTTCTGAAGATTTTCCCCACGCTGAACAGCGAGGAGAAGTTAATGGTCAATTACTATTGCGAGACCAGTATGTGTCTTTTCATCCTCATATAATTCCTATACTTCTTCATTGTTGCATAAGCTTATCTTCTTGCTTTATATTCACGGTTCAGATACATTGATAAGAAGTTAATGCCGGCGAAATATGCGTTTGTGGGGTTGGCAGCGCCTGGATCTGTAGGATCATGGCAAACCCAAGCAAAGGTTAGTAATTAGTATCGAGCTGGTTGCTATTGTACCAATTAATGGTTACTTACCATTTCGTTATCTTTTTTTTTATTTCCAGGGCTATCAGTTCTGGACTCAAACAACCGACACTGGCCGATTCAGTATAAAAAATGTCCGACCGGGGTTGTATCAATTGCATGCATGGGTCTATGGTTTCATTGGAGACTATAAATTAGACCACACCATCATTATCCAACCAGGTTGAATCAATCTCCTAATTAATGCAATTATTAGCTAGGTCGTTGGGTTTCAAACAAATTTGATACAGTTGCTCAATGCAGGGAACAAGATCCAGTTGGGTTCTCTTATATATGACCCTCCAAGAAATGGCCCTACGTTGTGGGAAATCGGTATTCCCGAAAGAACAGCTGCTGAGTTCTTCATACCTGAACCTAACCCATCATTTCATAACTCAATCATCAAAGATAACGCCGACAGGTTGGCGCCTTTCTCACACACTTACCTGCCTAACATTTAATAACTTTAAAACCATGTTTTTATGATGAAACAGATTTAGACAGTACGGATTGTGGGATCGTTACTCTGATATTTATCGTCACGGTGATCTTGTGTACGATGTGGGCGTTAGCAATTACTCAAAGGATTGGTTCTTTGCTCACGTTCCCAGGTGCCCTTTTCAACTCATAATTTGTTTTTTCTTTTTATTTTTTTGTTGGTGCTAATATTTTCAACCGCAGGAACGTAGGAAACAATGCGCACCGGGCAACCACATGGCAGATCCGACACAATCTCCAGGAAGTGAACGAGAGTGGACATTACACTCTCCAATTGGCATTGGCAGCAGCTTCATATGGTGAAGTTCAGGTATAATTATAAACCACACCCATCATTTTACCTATGCTTCTTTCACTCTAATGATTCTTTCATAGGTTCGATTCAACGATCCGAATGCGATTCGACCTCATTTTACAACGTCGAGAATCGGGTTCGACAATGCCATAGCTAGACACGGAATTCATGGATTGTACAGGCTTTACAGTATAAACGTGACAGGAAGTAGATTTCGGAGAGGGGAAAACACCATCTTTCTTACACAGAAAAGGTGCCAAGGTTCATTCGAAGCTGTTATGTATGATTATATTCGATTAGAAGGACCAGCAGTTTGATGATATATGTAATAGGAAGTTTGTTCATATTCTTACTGTTAATAGTTCATCATAGCAAGTGTTTTAAAAAGAATTAGTTTAGTTTATATAAAATGAGAGAATAAAATATTTATTAATTTTGCTCATCGGCTTGCTTTTAATACTTTGATTTTGGCAGCCTTGCAATTTTCATATTTTCCCCATTATTATAGTTTTTTTTGGTTAAAAATATGAAAAGCTTTTAAATTCTTGCAAATATTTTAAAAATTAAGAGTCAAATTGATTAAATAATGAATATCAATGGTTAAAAAACTAATTAACCTTTTATTTATATTTAATGTATTATATTGAGGTTTATATCTGTATATTTTAAGATAACTTATATTAGATTTCCTCGAATTATGGTCAAAATATTAAATTAACCTCTAGACATCAAAATGTTCTAATTGAATTCTAAAGAAATAGTATTATATCAAAGCAAGTTGTTTTCTGTTAGTTTACCAATTGGCATGAATATCTGTTATGAACTGAAGAGAATAGAAAAGGAAAAATCGAAGGAATAATGATTTTAGAAGAAGAAAAGCAGGGAGATTTCAGAAATCAGAATTTCATTCATTCATCAGGTATCTTTTTCATTCCTTAGTACACAGTTTTATTTGATTACAATGTACTATAGCAAATAGAAATAGGACAGCTGTATAACTAATTCTCTAACAAACTCCTTGCAGCTGAATATTTTCCTCCTTTGGGTTGATAACTGGATCCACGTCTGAGCCCATCTCCTCTGCCCAACTCTTCTTCTACTGCCTCTCCAGGTAATTTCCTTCAACCCTCTCATTAGAGATTGAAATCCCTAATTCCCTTATCTCTTTTCTCTCAATCCCTAATTCCTCGTCCATTTCCCCCAATTCCCTCGCTTCAATTCTAATCTCCTCGTCCTGGTCTTTTCTTGCAACCGTGACAATACCCCCTTCATCAGCAGATCCTTGTCCCCAAGGATCGAATTCAGGAAACTGGGCACGCAAGACTGTATAATCTTTCCATGTATCATTTTCAGCACTTAAATTCGTCCAACGAACCAATAATTGGGTAACAACACGGTTATCTCGTTTGACAATTCGTTTGCTTAAAATTTTCGCAGAAATACTTTAAGTTGTCCATCATCTATTACCTGAGGAGGGTCTGATGAAGCCACTGTCTTCTCTCCCAGTTTCCGCTTCAAGAGACTGACATGGAAAACAGGTGTATTTGAGCAGTTTCTGGTAAGTCCAATTTATAAGCAACCTCACCAATCTTTTCAAGAATTTTGTAAGGGCCATAAAAATGGGCTGCTAACTTCAAATTTTTTCTGATTGCCAGGGAAGTCTGCCGATATGGTTGCAGTTTCAGGTACACCTCTTCTCCCACATCAAATGTTCTTTCACTGCGATTTTTATCAGCTTGCTGTTTATACGGTTCTGGGCTTGCTGTAACTGGTCTCTAACAATTTGCCTGATCTGCTCTCTGTCTTGTAATAACGTCTGAACACTGTTAACATTAGATTCAGAACACCATAACATTGTAGGAGGTTTATATCCATAGAGTGCCTCAAAAGGGGTAATTTTAAGTGTTGTATGATAGTTTGTATTGTACCACCATTCAGCATGAGGTAACCATCTTGCCCATTGAGTAGGTTTTAGGAAACATAAACCCCTTAAGTACTGCTCAAGACATTGATTCACTCTCTCAGTTTGACCATCTGTCTCAGGATGGTAAGCTGTGCTAAAGAGTGTGTTGGTTCCCAACTGCTTCATTAGTTCTTTCCAAAAAAGACTGGTGAAGGTCTTGTCACAATCTGAAATGGCCATCTTAGGCTGACCATGAAGCTTATAAACTTGATCTAAATATAATTTAGCTACTTCCATAATAGTGTAGGGATGAGAAAGTGCTAAAAATGAGCATATTTAGTCAATTTATCCACTACTACTAAAATGCAATTCTTATGCAAAGAATTAGGTAAACCTCCAATAAAATCCATAGTTATCACCTCCCATGCTTGTTGAGGAATTGGAATTGGTTGTAGCAGCCCAGGTTTAGCCACATGCTCCACCTTAGTGCGTTGGCAGACTTCACATTTCTGTACATAATTAGAGACCATGGTTTTAAGTTTAGGCCAATAAAAATAAGATTTCACCCGCTGGTATGTAGCCTGAATACCTGAATGCCCTCCATGAGGAGAATCATGTAAAATCTGTAGTATCTGCAATCGTAAATCACCAGACTTTCCCACATAAACTCTATTTTTGTAACGCAACACCCCTTTTGAATACTTCCAATTTGGAACACTAGCAGTGTTAATAGTTACTGCTCGAATGTATTCTTTAGCATCAGCATCATTTTCATAGCTTTGTTCAATGTCCTTAACCCAAGCCGGAATTATAATCATGGCACCCATCCTTTGACTCACCCACCTGCACAAATTGTCTTGACAAAGCATCAGCCACAACATTATTATGCCCTTTTCGATATTGACTTTTGTAGTCCAAACCCAACAATTTAGTCAATCCTTTCTTCTGAATTGTTGTCGTGAGTTTCTGCTCTAACAAATACTTCAAAGGCTCGTGGTCTGTTTTAATGATAAACGGACCACACTCAAGATAATGTCGCCATTTTGAAACTGCCAAAAGAATAGCCAAATATTCCTTCTCATAAATAGAAAGGTCCACGTTTTTAGGGCTTAAAGCTTTGCTAAGATAGGCCAAAGGATGAACTCATTGGGATAAAACAGCCCAAATACCTTCTGAGCTTGCATCAGTTTCTAAACAAAATTCTTTAGTAAAATCAGAAGTGCCAAAACTGGAGCCTTACACATTACTTCCTTCAATTGATTAAAAGTTGTCAATGTTGTAGGAGTCCATATAAAACCTTCCTTTTTTAACATCATTGTAAGTGGTCGACTAATTGCACCATAGCCTTTGATGAACCTTATATAATGCCTGTTAGCCCCAAAAATCCCCGAAGAGATTTTAAGTTTTGAGGAATTGGCCAATTTTTCATAGCAGCAATTTTTAATGGATCAGTGGAAACCCCTTGAGCATTAATAATATGTCCTAAATATTCTACTTGTGGTTGACCAAAATAACATTTACTCCTCTTAGCATATAGCTGATGTTGTGTCAATATTTCCAAAACTCTTCTCAAGTGTAGTGCATGAGCAGACAATGTAGTGTTGTACACTAATATATCATCAAAAATACCAGAACAAACTTTCGCAAATAGGGAGTGAACAGATTATTCATAAGAGATTGAAATGTAGCAGGTGCATTAGTAAGACCAAAGGGCATTACCTTGAATTCAAAATGTCCATGATGAGTGCGAAAGGTAGTTTTGTAGATGTCTGTAGGCTGAATTCGAATCTGCCAATAACCAGACCGTAAGTCCAACTTAGAAAAATAGGCTGCTCCATGTAATTCATCTAATAAATCCTCCACCACTGGTATTGGAAACTTATTTTTTACTGTCTGGTTGTTTAATTGTCTATAATCGACGCAAAATCTCCAAGAACCATCCTTTTTCTTAACAAGTAAGCAAGGTGAGGCAAAAGGGCTCTTGCTTACTTGAATGACAAAAGCTGCTAGCATATCAGAAATTTGTCTTTCCACCTCTGCTTTTTGATGATGTGGAAATCTGTAAGGCCGCAAATTGACCGGGGCTGCACCCAGTTTAAGTGTAATTGAATGGTCATGTACTCGTTTAGGAGGTAATCCTTTAGGTTCATCAAAAACTCCTGCAAATTCTGCTAATAATGGTTGTAGCTCATGAGGCACCTGCTGCTCCTCAATTTCCATAGTTAAGACATAAATTTCTCCCAATAAATCTGGATCCTTGGCAGTAATCTTTTGCATTTTGTCATTAGAAACTATTTTCATAAGGAATGGTGCTTGATGTCCTTGAATAGATAGTTGGTGTCCCTTCTTCTCAAAGGTAATAGTCATAGCATTAAAATCCATAAGGATTGGACTATATTTGCGCATCCAATCAACTCCAAGAACCATATCACTGCCTCCCAGATTAAGTACCCGAAAATCATGAAAAAACTGATGGCCTTGCATAATCCAACATAACTGATTGCTCTTAGTTGAACTGAATAATTTCTCACCATTAGCAACTGTAATGGCTAGTGGTTGAGTTGAAACTAACTCAGTACCAGCTTTAGCCCACTTAGGAGTGATAAAGTTGTGCGTGTTGCCACTGTCAATAAGAATATTGAGAGGTTTGCCCTTGACCAAGCCTTGAATTCTAATTGTAGTATATCCAATGTTACCTGTGAGAGCATTGACTGAAATTTCCAGGTTCTCATCTTTATCATTTGAATCTCCCAAAACCTCATCTGTTATGACTGCATCTTCCTGGTTATCCACTTCCTCCATAACATTCAATTGTCTTAACTTGCATTGGTGGCCTGGTTGAAATCGTTCACCACATTTGTAACATAAATTATTCAATCTGCGATACTCCAGCAAATTGTTCTTGTTAGGAGGATTTGGTAGAATTTTCTGTGTTGTTGTAATAGCAGCAGGTCTATTAAAATTTGTTTGGGTGGGATAAGGTGGGAATCTTGAATTTTGTTTCTGTCTTTTGCTTTCAAACTCCATTGAAATCTCATATAATTTTGCCTGCCTGCAAGCTTCAGTGACTTCTTTAGATTAAGAGCTTTGACCCTATGTTTCAACTCCTCCTTCAGTCCACTTATGAAAATGGACACAAAAATTCCTCCCCCAAGGTTGGGTTCTGCATTAGAATGAAAGGTTTCAGCTCTTCAAATCTCACTTGGTATTCTTTCACTGTTCCTTTTTGAATTAGCTTACTAAATTCCTATATGACATCTGCATACTTCATATCACCAAATCGATGACATAAGTCTGCTTCGAACTCATGCCAATGTACTCGATTTTTTTGCATGATATAACCATCAAACCATGATTCAGGTTTTCCCTCTAAATATATGGCAGCTAACTCAACTTTTTGCTATTCAGGAATTC